TATATAAAAACTGCCTGAATGATCATGTGAGGAAACCCATCAACATGCAGAAATACAAAAAAAAATCTACAATTTCAAGCACTACTGTATCTTTACTAGATTTACTATAAATTCATTTTTATAGTTTTAGAGTTTTCATACTTGACTAACAGCTTCTGTCACGCAGGGCCTCTCGAACTTGGTGGAGCTGAAAATGGCGCACAACGAGTACATCAGCTACCTTCACACACGAACTTTCACAGGGCTGAAGAAGCTGGTGCGCCTCGACTTGTCCGACTGTAACCTGTTCAGCATCCCCGATCGTATCTTTATAGAGCAAACGGCACTGAAGGAGCTGCTCTGTTTCCAAAACAACTTCAGGAGGATCCCGGGGGCCATCAGAGGCATGGAAAACCTGACTCACATCTATCTGGAGAGAAACAAGATAGAGGCAGTGGCCTACAACTCCCTGCTGGGCCTGGGTAGCCTCAAGTAAGCCACAGGCCCCAAGCTCATGCATGAAGTCACATAGCTACAACCAGGCATTCATTTATTGACTGAGGTTTTGCATAAACTATTAAAGCAGACCTGCTATGCTTATTTCCAGCTACAGATTTTTATTCCACAGTCACAGTTCAAAATACTGCTTATTTATCTCATGCAGGGTCTCATTGCACGCTCAGTTCATCTTCTGTTTGAACTAAGCATTCAGCAGTTCAAAGTTTGTGTATTCATCCTTAGTTCATGCACTGCTCCCATCCTGTTTTCAGAGATTTTACAGATGAAGAAAGTTATTTTGTGCAGGTGTGGTTCCTGGTGTGAGTCTGCAGTGCCTAAGGTAGCATGTGCGATTTTCTGTGCTGAAACAAAAGCATGACAAACTGAATATTGGTAGCAAAGAAAGGCTGTCTAAATCTAACACAGCCACTGATCTTCTCTTATTGTGTAAACCAGTTCATTCTTTCAAACATCTTTATCTCTCTCAGGTACCTGAACCTCCAGGAGAACCGCATCAACGTGATCCATGAGCAGGCCTTCCAGGACCTTACACGGCTGGAGAACCTTTACCTCAATGACAACTTGCTGTCTGATTTGCCCAAGCTCGCCTTCAAAGGCCTCAGCCGGCTCAAGATGCTCAACCTCGGGGGTAACCAGTTGACCAACCTGTCCAAGACCTGGTTCAGTGACCTGGTGGAGCTGGAGGTCCTGTACCTAGACAGGAACCAGCTGCTATACATCGAGGAGGGCACTTTTGAGAACCTGACCAGCCTAATCACGCTCCACCTGAACAGCAACAATCTTACCACCCTTCCCTTCCCTGTTTTCCAGCCCATCTACTTCCTGGGCCGGCTTTACCTCTTCAGAAACCCCTGGGAGTGTGACTGCTCCCTTGAGTGGCTGAAGGAGTGGATGGAAAACTACAAGCTGGTGCGGGACATCCCCTGCGCTTCACCTTCCTCTGTGGCCGGACTGGATCTCGGTGAGGTGGTCTTCGCCAAGGTGAACGGCACATGTGTGGACCCCGCCGATCTCAACCTAACTACGGCCTCCTCGGAGATCACCTCCACCACAGAGAACCGCTTCAAAAGCCTCATTTTCACACTGATCCACCCGGAGTTCGGGGATCAGATGGGGAACGGCACAGAGAGCCTCCGCAACGGGACCCTGATTGAGAGCGAGGATGGGCAGCTCTCTGCAGGGGTCACAGGTCAACGGGCCTGGCCAAGCGAGTCTCTTTTTTGCTTCATTGTGATGTGGCTCAGCTTGGGTTTGATTGGCCAGTCAGATCTATTTTTCTCTCTGTACTGCACGTGAGAACAGTGGAGATGAGATCTGCTTCATGACCCACATGAGGAACATGGGAAGCTTTTTTTAAAAAATGCTCCCGAGATAAAAGATGGTTTTATTTACTCATGCGAATATAAAAGGGTTGCTATTCATGTTTGCGTGTGTTAATGCTCTGATGTAGGATTTTGGGATTGTTTCCCTGGTAAAATGCAAACAGGGGAAACTGAATATTTTCAGGTAAGAAGGACTGGATGTGGTTTACCATACTGGTTATAGATTAAAGATTTATATATACTACTTCATATGTGATCATGCTCCTCCTCGTTCATATACAAATCTGTACAGCGGCAGGATTCATCTGTGCAATTGCAGTGGCAATGAAACTCAAACTGTGTAAGCTAACATCTAGTTTTTTTGTTGCATAAGTCGTCATTTTAATTATGATGTAATATTCATAGCGTTACATAGTCCGACTATTTTGTTTTTGTATTTTGGTTCACAATGTTAAAGGAGATGAGAGCTCCCGTAGTTATCTCCTAAACACACGTCCGCTCTTTTTTGTGTGTAGGCTCTGCAGCTTTTCCACAAATGCATTAATCTTCTTACCGCACGCAGCTCGGTGTCGTCGCTGCTTGTGTGTGCTATAAAGTAACACAGACGGACTTTATCTTTGCCTCTAGTGCATGGGTATAATCTCTCTCTATACAGGGACTGTGGTGAGTCATTGCCATATATTGTGGATGGAGGGGGGGCAGTGTCAAAGCATGTTTAATGCATATGTACACACTTACACTGTTGTGCTTTGTGTGGCTGACATACCATAACACAGGCGACTGCTTTCTTTCTACCCCGGTGAGTGTGAGTAGTTTGGTCAGACAGCCTGTGGTGCAGTTCAGTTTTGTTATTAGACACAATGCTCTGTCAAAATCTATTTTTCTAAATAAAATAAATAATTAAGCTTTCGATGTGCTGGTTCAGTGACTCCTTTCAGCATCAGTCGAGGGGTTGACCCGTTTCACTTAATCCGCCCAGTGGCCTCTTTGGCTCGTTAATGTGGGATTATGCTGGGACTAAGACAAGCGAGGAGGCTGATGTCGCACCTCGTTCCTCTCGCTCTCAACATTTTCTTTTGCTCGTTCAATTCCAGGTCACAGGGGAGCAGGAGGAGTCTGTCCCAGCTGTCATGGGAACGGGAGGAGAGGCACACCCTGGACAGATCGCCAGTCTGTCGCAGGGCTGCAAAGGTTCATATCTGAACAAATTTCTAATGTGATAACAGCTATGACAGACTTGCATTAATTAATATAACATCATCTTTAGTCAGTGGAATTTCCAGGCACCTTTCCAAGAATTTATGATTACATGTTAAACCTTTCTAGGAAATGAACTGGAAACAACAGAAACTGTGATCAAGGGGAAAATCCTTCTGCTTTGAAGATTAGAAACATTATTGCATGTCTCATGGACATATCATGTAACATATGTGATGTAGTAACAGGATGGTTCAGTACAGCACACATAACAATCATAGCAAATAGAATAGTACATTTAGAGATTAAATTTACTTCTCAACATATAACATGTTGGAATTATCTTAACAACTTTTACTGCACCATAATGCACTGAGTGTTGTTACTTACTGATGCTTTGAATATTTTACTACCTGTGGTCATATTTGTGCATGGTGGCAGGGCTATGCTTGTTTAGCTCTCTGAGGTCTAAGTCATCATAGGTGCCAACGTTCTCCTAACCCTGTATTTTGGAGAAGGGCACGTGTTTGCCAATTAGAATGATTAATTTGCTCATTTTCCGATCGCCAAGACTTAGAAAACAGTTTAATACAAACTGTAGTGACATAGGGTTGTAGATGTCACTGATGATGTCTCAGACCACAGGATTAAGTACATCTTCTAGTTCAACTGTATTATTATTCAAAATCAACAAAGCAGCCCAGGTCTCGAAGATAAACAGCAGTCATCTGGGAATTATGCACTCAGACTGTCATGTCTAAAGCTTTAACCCTCTGTTGCCATACAGCATTCAGCTTTAATCTAATCCTAAGGAAACAGAATATATATATTTTTTCTTTTTATTAAAATATTCTCCAAAGTCATGGCAATCACAAACTAACTGACACAAAAAAGACAGTTTTGGCCTTCTTTAAAGTACAGTTTGTCACCCATGATGACTCAGACCTCAGCGAGTTAAAGGGAAGCCTGGTGGAGCTGCAGCCTATCAATCAAAATGCTCTATTAGGATATAATAACTGGGATTGTCAATGAAAAGTCAGGACTCTTGCAATCACATAATGACTATATACTCTGTTAGTGCATTACCAACAGTCTGATAGATAGTGTTAGAGACTAGCTTACCAACGAAATGAGCATTTAGCAGCTAAAGCAGCAGCTAGTTCCCTCAGGAGTTGGTGGAGCCCAAAAACACACTGACTTTGTAAAGGTGGCAATGATACACAACAAATGGAGACCTCATTTCTAATTCACCACTACAGTTTCCTGACTTGAAATCTCAGTTGTAGCACTTTCTTTTGCTTTTCTTTTAATTTCAGCTATAGCCAGTTAGCTTTGTTGTATTTTGTTTTTCACAGACACAGATAGTTGCTAATCAGTGCAACTCATCAAAACTGAAAGCCAAACTTACAGGTCTGTTAGTAACCACATAACCATATAACTATATTAAAATAATCCCTCATGGTACATACGGGTATAAGATCAAGTTCAGTGACTCCAGTTAGAAAATGTGAAGCCCAATGAATAGCTGTTGTTTACACTTGCACATGTGTGTCAGCTGGTAATTTAAATATGAAGGTCTGTGGAGATGTCGGTGATGGCTCACTCTTAAAGTTGGCCTGAAGTGGTGAACAAAGTTTGCCATCTCTCACTCAGAGAACCAAGGTTATAGCGGTATATTCTGTAAATGCTGAATATATAAGCAACAATTTGCCACAAAGTTGTATCACCTTAGATGGGAAACTTTTCCCCTGGCAATACATCCATCTAAAATATTTTCATGTGAGTTTTCTTGCATTTAATAAAATCAGATGACACTTGCCCTGTGGTGATTAAAGTGCCAAAAAAAAGCTACATCAAAACTTCTGCATGAAGTGAAAGTTAATATTTTATTTCTCTGTGTCAGACACAACAAATCTTCACGTTCTTCACTGTTGATCCAAGCTGGATCTCTGCCTCCACCTCAGTGATAAAAGTGTGTGAGAGGATCGTGGTCATTGTACATTTTCCCCACTCCCAGGGCTGTTCTCTATAAATCAGTGTGGGGCTTTCAGAGAAGGTGAAGAAGCCAGATTTTAAAAATCAATTATTTTTCTTCTTCTTGCTTAGGTAACACATCAACTGTGAGATATTTAACATCCATACCTGATAAAAAATGAATAAAAAAAAAAGAAAACGAACCACAGCTGTCCTGTCAACTGCTCCTTGTTTTTCTTTCCCCTGACGTTAATGCTATGGGATTATTCAACAGCAAACCACAGGTTTCAGCTCTGGAGGACTCTAATCGCTCACTTGCATTGATTGAAATCACCAAATGCAGTGTTTCAACAGAGAGGTCAGCTTAATGCACATTCACCTGAGGTATATAAGCCTCAGGAATGTATGACATGCTGGACTCCATTTATTATGCGTGACTTTAACTAAAAGTCAGGCTTTTCTTTCTGGTGGAACGATGCATGCACATACACACATAAATACATGATTAACTTCATCTTCATATGTGCCACAAGGTGAAGAGTAACAAGGTCATTTGCATCTGAAACATTTAAATTAGCCAGTTGTTTGATGATATGAAAAATATATTGGGAAATGCAATAGATAACACGTTTTTCTCTCTGCAGTGCAGCGTGAATGCATGCTGTGTGAAACAACACAGCTTCCTGTTGCTGTTCTACTTATGCTGCTGAATGAAGGCCAGAAGGTGGTTTTGCAGAACATTACAATGATGTGTAACCTTTTCACACTGGCCTTAACCACCAAAATCTAATGAGTTAAGAAGAGGCTTTTGGTGCCATATCCATCAAGGTATTCCTGAGTTTGCCAGTATGAAACTTGGATAGATGGACGTGTGTGTGTGTGTGTGTGTGTAATGACCCTATCTGGCCTCAATAATCCATGCCCGTTATATATTTTTTTTATCCACTGTGGTCTGCCTCATCTGCCCTTGCTGCCGGTAGCGCCTCTCTGCTTTATGTGTAGACGTTTTCCCGGTCTGACCTCACCATAACCAGGCTGATCCAACGAATGCACACCTCCCAGCCTCCCAACTAAAGGATCTCCTGCTCTGAGGCGCACGTTGAGACTCTGATAGAAGAGAACGGCTCTGGCAGAACAATGTGACCTCTATAATTAGGCAGATGATTTGAGCAAGATTTGAGCATTTTTAGTTCAAATAGTTGCGAAACCAGGATTAGACAAAAGTCTTAAAACTAAAAGCAGATTTGTCCATAGAGCTTTAGATACTCAGTGTTTGGGATGGGAACCACTGCACTAAACGACCTAAAATCATAGTAAATAATTGCAGCTGGCTTCACTTTGAGCTACTTCAAAACGTAGTAAATGTGAATTAAAAATCTAGTATTGGAGTAAAGTGTAGTATGAACCTTTTGATTTTATGCTGCAATAAAACTAACATGTGATCAGCCCAGAAAGCACCCGCCTGGATTCACTGGTTTGGATCGAGCTGCAGTTACTCACAGGCAGTGCTGAAGCTGGAGGGATGTGCACAAAGCATTTCTTACAGGAAACCAACTTTAATGTTTACTGTGTCAATAAGATGGACGTATGTTCCCAGTCTGAAAATCTGCTCGTAGCTCAAAAACACACACTTGTACTAAACAGACAGGGATCTGGGAATAATGAAACAATACTGTTTTACCTCAGAAGCAGGCGGCTCTCTGAAACGATTTCTCTGTTCCCAACTCTGTTAACAAGAGTTCAAACTGCGTCACTGACATCCTGAAATATGTGTGAAAGCGGTCATGACACAGCTTTAGCTCCAGAATCAACCTCAAAATTCTCCCTGCTGGTGTCTTGTGGTGAGAACTGGATGAAGCTCAGTTGTCCCTGAACAAGAAAGGGCCTTCCCTTTCTTGTTCAGGGACATCAGGACCTTGATGTTGACTGATTTTTTTTTTTTCCACACTGAAACATACGTTTGGATGCAAAAACTTCTTAATTTTCTGTTGTTTTTACACACTTTGTGTGTAATGGCAGGTAGCCCATCCCTTTTTTAACCTCCTAGGACCTGGCGTCCACATATGTGGACACCACATTTTGGGTTGTCTAGACCAAAACACTAAATTTTGCTCTACAAGGGCCTGATATCCACTTATGACGAAATTATACTGCCACTGTTCTAATGAAATTGAAGATGAAAGTCCTCATATGTGGATCTCATTTTTGTTATAAACAAAAACCAGGTAAAAAAAAAAAATCTGGTTAATTCTTTGTTTCCACATTCATTAAAAATGCATGCCATGGGAGAGGTCAGGCCTTAAGATACTACCTACATTTTGGACTTTTTACGTCAGCGAGTTTGGAGGTAACTAAAGTAAAAGTTCAGTAAATGTAAACATTAGCCAAGTTAGACGTAGACACTGGTCTGAGATTTCCCATAAACATCTATACAAACATGATTTGGCAACTAGCCTGGCTCAATGAAAAATGCAGGTATGAATAGGTTTTTTCCTTCAATAGATGAATTCATCAATCAAAAATTGCATATTGTATTTATCTGGGGTTTTCTTTTAAAATGTATTTAATCTGAAGCATGTGAAAAAACCCAAAGAAACACTGGAAAAATCATTTAAAAACTAAGGAACGGGGAAAATACTTAAAAAAAAAAAAAGTAATATAAAGTTCATGGGCCTCCAAATATCAGCTTAGAATGACCCATTCAGAAAAAGTCATTTGTATTGTGAACTCTACAAGAGCTGCTTTCTTTGTGGACGCTATGAAGCGCCTTGAGGCAACTTTTGTTGTGATTTGGCGCTACACAAATAAAATTGAATTGAATTGGACAGGCTGCTGGTGCTGTGAGTGCTCCGAGGTTTTTGGCAAAGAGCCACATTCCCCAATATATGAGCAGACACTAGACGAGTTATCATGGCCATCTTCCAGCCTCTAACCCAACATAAAGCTGGCAACTGAAACTGAATATTAATATTATTAATTTGAATATCCATTTTTTCATTACATGTGACCTTTGATTTTCCAGCTTATCGACCATCACTTTGTGAGAAGTCCCCATCTATGAAAACAATTTCTCACCCCTTCCTTACATCTTTCTCCATCTCTGAGTGAACGTCACACATTAGTGCATTTTTGTGGCTTTTAATACTAAATGATACACATACAGCGTGTCCAGCACCACCCTGAGCAGGTCTTTGCCAGATTTTAGAAGAGATGCTTTTCATGTGACGCTGCAAAAAGAACGAAATGAAGAGACACTTCAAGTTTAATTTTCCAACACATAAAAGGAAATATATTTAAAAAAACAAAAAAAAAAAACTGTTCATACCGAAGAACCTGCATCATTGTGGAGTCATTTACACCCGAGGGGCAGTCATATTCATATACTGTATGTGGTTATTCAGCGGCACGCACGGCCTCCTCATCCTCTGAAGCCGTCAGCTCTGCACAAAGTAAAGCGTGCACTTGCACTTGCTTTGCACACGGTTACAGTTTCAAGACAGATCTCATCTATCGCTGCTTTTTAAACTGGATTGAAACACACTCTTGGACATCACAGTTTGGAAATGGCAAATGCTGAACTAGGTGTACGATAAATCAAAAAGAGAAAAAAAAAATCAAAACTTTTATTAGATTTCTTCCTTGTTTTTTTTTGTTTTTTTTTTAAATACAAACACATCTCACTTACATGGTCGATAATTCTAGAAATTTAGAAACATCACCTGAAATGCAAGGGATGTGCATAGGTGTCAAGTCAACATCTGGCTCAGTCACTCTTGGTTTATTTTTAACATTTGTTTTCCTTTTGGTTGAGCTCACTTTTCCAAAGAGCTGGAATGTTTTCTTTTTTTTAATTTCTTTCTGGTAATATATATATTTTGCCTTCTTTTAATTCTCGGAGGGTTTACAGAGGGACACGGGGAACACTGACTGACAGCATGGAAGCTTGCAAATGTCCACATGCATGATAACCTCATTCAAATCTCTAAAACCATTTATGGATTTATTTAGAAGAGACAGTACCCGGTAGTCCAAAGGTGCGTGTGACTGCACTAACAGCTGGAGAGGGGAAAAACAAAACGAAAAACATCTACAGATGAAAGACATTGCAGTGTGTGTGCTTTTACTGCATCTGCAGACAGTGTCCTCCAACAGCCGTGATGGGAGGGTTACTGCAGGTGCACCAACATGAGAGGACGGGACGCAGTACTGTCTCTTTAAAACAAACATCTACAAAAATGTTGCCTCCTAGCTAGTACAGACATGACAATATTCACTTTTACTCGGTTTTTATACAACACTATGAGACTAGGTCATCTGCGAGGGCAAGAGTCCGACGCTTGAATGCTGTTACGCTTTCACAGTACGCTGAGTCGGTTCCGATCGAGTGCAGTGTAGAGAGGGCTGCCCTGTCGGCTTCTGTTATTAGAGTCTTCTGTGTCGGTGTTGTAGTTATGAAGAGGGCAAGACGGCCGAGGTGTTGCTGGCGGGAAGTGGAAGAGGGGGAGAGAGCGCGAAGGCGGATGAGATGTTACGGGTCAGTACACCCAGGACACAGGGACCCACTGACTGGTGGTGCACACCAGGTCAATGGCCTCCTCCAGGTGCCTGATGGTCTCATCAATCTCGTTGTTGATGATGGTCTGGTCGAAATAGTGTGCGTAGGTCTTCTGCAGGATCTCCGACTCTTTCTGCAGCCGCTGGAGTGACTCGTCCTGAAGGAGGAGCAGGAGGAGTGAAAATGACAAAAAAGGTGAAAGCAAGACAGGACTAAAAAAAAAAAGAAAAAAGAAAAGAAATCCTTAGGGCCCCAACACACTGTGGGATGTAAAGTCTATCACAGGATTTTCCACATTTTTAGGTTCTTATACCTAAAACTAACCATCTCATTTTCAGTTTCCATAATTTTATCCACAACATTTAAAGATATCAGTGAGAGGAGCCTCCACTGCAGGCTCACGATACACTGCCACGTTAAGACCTTTTTAGAGCTCATTAGTTGGAAAATGCTGAGGCTCAGTTAGGGACAGGAGCAAAAAATTCACGAGTATATTTAGTAGATTTTTACCTTCATACTCAGAACATTTCCAAAGTTACAGTGCATTGCATTGCATCCCTCCTGAAACAAGGTTTTATATACTGTGTTAGATTAAACTCAGAGAACCTAATGAATTGGCCATAGATGGTTTTCTGGCTTGAAAGGCTGATTACATTTTGGAACAGGAAGTTAGCACAGCAGACCAGACTGCCTGCCAGCTTTAAAGCCCAACCCTGTGTCTGCTACAGCACTGAACAGGCTCCACACTGAACTGTACGCGTTTCACCGTGTTAGACCCACAGTGATGCACGCAACCTGCAAGATGGCTGTGTCACACAGCGTGTTGGCCTACAGCCAGCAGAGGAGGAAGAAAACAGTAAAACACAGTTGGCAGAACTTATCACTAGAATCATGGAACACACACACACACACACACACACACACACACACACACACACACACACACACACACACACACACTAAAGCATCTGCTCTGTCAGGTCTTACTTACTGGCAGTGTTCGACACCACCTGGGCATCTGAGCGGAGTGCCATGCAAACAAACACATGCAGCGTGCAAAACAAACAAACAAAAAGACGAGTGCAGAGACGAGTGAGGAGCAGCATGCGAACTCAAACCTCAAGCCTGATTCAGACTTCAGCGGGAAATCTAAGTCCTAACTTACAACATAACCGGGAACCCTTTTAAGCCAGGTTACATGGAAGGTCAGGATGTAGGGTTGAGAGCGGTTTCTGGTTATGTTAAAGGAAGATGTAGATTTCCTGAAGCATAATTCAGGTATTACACACAGCTCAGACATACACAGTAACATGTCTCACAGTTGGGTGAAATCAGTGGCACACAATTTTAAAAGGTGACTTATTATGAATTTCCTTTAACACACACACACACACACACACACACACACACACACACACACACACACACTTTCATATCGTTGTGGGGGTCATCTAACTGACATAACCCTTTCCCTAGCCGCTTACCCTCCAACTTAAACAATAGGCTAAAAACCACATTTTGAGCCTCAGATGCTGTCAAACCCGTGGGGAAGGGCATTTTGTCTCCATAAGGGCTGTTGGTTCCCACAAGTATAGTAAAATTCCAATGTTTGGTCCCCACAAAGATATGTAAACATGGTACACACACACACACACACACACACACGTCAAAAAATTACAGGAACACTTTTTAATCAGAGTGCAGCATCAGGTCAGTCAAACTTGTTGGATATTGACCTGGTGAGTTAACTAGCAGAGCGGGTTGTTATCAGTTTCAGCTGCTTGGTCTTAACAACAGATACAGTATAGGGGCAAGAATGAGACAATCCCAAAACAGGAATGGTATCCAGGTGGTAGGGTAGGGGTCCAGGTAGGGTCCAGGTATCAGGTGTCCTCCACCTGTACGGTGGAGGACACCGTGATACCTGGACCCTACAGACATTACACAGGTAGTCCAAATCCTCCAGGATGGCACATCAATATGTGTCAGTGACAGAAGGCTTGCTGCATCTCAAGGCACGGTTTCAAGAACATGGAGGAGATTCAAGGAGACAGGCAGTTAACTCCAGGAGAGCTGAACAGGGCCTTCAGCAGGACCGCTATCTGCTCCTCTGTACAGGGAGGAACAGGATGAGCACTTCCAGAGCTACAACATAACCCTCAGCAGGACAATGCTCTGGCTAAACAATCAGAAACAGACTTCCTAAGGCCGTACGGTGATGATGCCCAGCCTAATGCAACAAGATGATGCAGGTAGTTCCTGGAGGATGAAGGTACTGATGCCATTGACTGGCCCCCACACTTGCCTGACCTAAATCCAATATAAACTCTGGGACATAATGTTTTGGTCCATCTGAAGCTACCAGGTTGTAACTCAGACTTTTTGGGCAATATCTATCCAGACCAGGAGCTCAGTGATGCCCTGGTCCAGGTCTGGGAGGAAAGCCCCCAGGACACCATCCATCACTCATTAGAAGCATGTGCAGCGTCATCAGACATGCATACAAACATGTGTGGCAAACCACTCAGTAACATTTAGAGTTGGTGCAATGAAATTCAGCTAAATGAACTAACCTGCCGGATTATTTTTTCACCTTGACTTTCAGCCCTCCATATGGCATCTTTTAGTTATGGACACATTAGCCAGTCCCCCCCGATACTGAGATTCCCATTACAAAGTGTTCCTTTAATTTTTTTCAACAGTATAAAAATATAAGACATGTATAATGATTATTTGGAAATATAAATTAAGCAAAGCTAGTCTCCTGCAGTCTAAAAATATGCAGTTTGTCTTTGAAGTTGATTTGTTATCCTCATTTCAAAGTACAGTAGAGTCAGGTTTGGTTGTTTAATGAACATCAGGAGAGATGGAGAACATCACCAGCCTTGTGCTGAGTGCGTCAGTCATTTTCCTACCTCATTAATGCCTGGTGTGATGGTTGGTGCAGCGATGAACACGACGTACGGGGCAAACTCGGCCGTCCGCAGGACCTTTAAGGCCTGATGAAAACACATGTTAGGGTTCAGTGTCCTTACGTACTCCATGCATGAAGACTTGGTGCCCTCACATAAGCACGCACCTGAGGTTCAACGTCCAGTATGGCGATGAGCCCCTGCTGGTGGATCTTGCGAATGGTTTCCAGGCGCGTCCCGTACATGGCATCCTCATGGCTGCCATACTCCAAGTACTCATTGTTGCTGATGTCCTGCATCATCTGGTCATGGGAAACGAAGTAGTAGTTCTTGCCGTTCTCCTCATCCTTCTTTGGAGGTCTGGTTGTGTCTGTGAGCACACAGGATCAGACACAGGAAGTGAGAGAATTACACCTCCCTACATGCACAGCAGCGCTCGTAAAGACTGTCGATTGTGCGTCTTACGTGGGATGGGGTAGGCGAATCTGTCAGGGAGTTTGGTTATAAGTGTGTTCTTAATATGTCTCCTGCCCACTCCATGAGCGCCTGACAAAGACAAACACAGACGGTCAGTGAGGCTACGGCAGATGTTCTAGTGTCCTGCTGCTGCACTTGGTGTTACTCACCTAACAAAACTAGTGTTTTCCTCTTGAAGGCAGGAAGCTTCACAACCTCCTCATATGTGACAAGGTCTAGTTGGTCAAACACTGGAGACGAGAGACGCCAGAGACAGATGGAGATTAGGAGGATGTGCAGAGAACTGTGTGGGATAAAAACAGCTAGAAAACTAGAGTATAAGGGAAGCAAGGAGGCTAGAGAATATCTAACACATCCGCTAACTACGAGGTGAAGAGAAACCAAAGCAGATTAAAAATCTCAGTGAAAAAAAGGCCTGATGAGGAAACAGTGGGTGGGAATAACTAGAGTTGGGTTCAGAGAGACAGATCCACTGCCCAGCTCGAATAATAATTGTTAAGCTGAAATGCAAATGAATCTCTAAAAGAACCTTTGATCTCTCCATGATGGTTTTTTAAATGCAGGCCAGCTTCTCATTTATTCTGCTGCTCATTCAGTCAGCAGCTACACAGGAAAACTGGGATATTTCAAAAAACCTGTTCAACCTGAACCGGACCTTTCAGTTCTACTTTTTACTCGCTGTTGGTGGAGGTTTAAAGGACACCTGTTATGCTTACTTTCAGATAGAAAGTAGACTAAATAGAGGAAATTGCAGAATGTCTGGGCTGCAGAGCGTATCGCGTGTTAAAGCTGAGCGGCTCACTGTGCTACGTGCTCTCTGCCTCTGAAACATGAGCCTCTGTGCAGCCAACATCTCAGCCTGCTGACAAGCGAAATATAACACCCACAAGTCAGCAGCTGCTGCTCAGACTGACAGACTGATGGTGACTGTGACAGCGACATTATATTGGACTGAAAAGGTTATTAAAAGACTGGTTACATTAGTGGACCCGTAGATGAACACACTACACCAAACGTGAATGAGAAGACAGGTTAGGGTCACCATCACAGCACGCAGTGTCTAAAAACACACAGAGTAAGCTACACGGTTTCAGTTTTGCCTCAGCCTTCTGTTGTTTTTGTCAACAGAAACAAAAGTGAAACGCTGGCAGTGACAGCTGATCTAATCTACACAGTTAATCAGAGAAGAAGAAGAGAGCGAGAGAAAAGAGGAGGAGTTGGTTGCTGTCACTGGTTGTTACTTACATGCAGAGAGGCCGTTCAGTAGGAGAAAGCGAGAGAGATGAACAGCAGGGGTCATAACATGGTTACAACAGCAGAATTACAGAACGCAAAACAGCAAGATACAACATCTGGGCAGCTGTGCAGCAGCACACAGTCCCGAGTGGAGATGGATGCAGACAGAATACTGTTGTTGTTGCTGTTAGAGAGTTTATTCACACTAACTGGTGACGTGTGGGTTGGGGGTGGTTGGTGGTGATGGTCACCAACAACCACAAGCAGCGCAGCAGAGCCCGGCTGCATCCAACTATGGAGGCATCCTGCATCTGCATCCAGCTGTCCGAGGGGTAGCAGTGGGTACTTCCCAGGAATCTGTCACCCTGTTTTCCAGCTATAAATGATGATTGATGACGATTTATATAAAATAATAATAAAGCAGTCACACAGAATTGTGCAATCGGGTGTTTTCCAGGACCTGCAGAGATTTCCATATCTAGATGTTTAAAAATGTGTTGCTGATGATAACGTGATTGCTACTAGTTCCAGGAATTCAGGAGTTGCTCATTATTTCAGGATATATGAATTTATAAGGGACAGTTACGAACGCTTCTCCGCATTTCAGTGCGTCTTTGGATGTTGGCAGTGAAGCTAATGTTTTGTGCACCTGTTGCTCTGCCTGTGAAACGCTGGCCTGACTGTTTGATTGGGGATACAGCGTCAGGTTAATTCTCGCTCAACCATCAACAGTCTGATGTTTCTGTTTGATTGTTAAAGCTGTGCCATTGCAGTTTCTACCTCTGCATGTCCATCTCATTGAGATACACAGCACAGGACTAACAACAAGGAATATCTTCTGCTAACATTTATGTTAACTTAATGTAATAGTTGAATGTGGGCCTTCTACTCTACTGTCTGTGAAAATGATTCTAGATTAGGCAGTGATAAAGCCAGGCTCATTGATGGAGTGTAAATGGTGAGGGAGGGAGAAATATGTAAGAAACTAAGCTTCGTGGTGTCATCACACATAGTTTTATTTTTCTTAAAATTCAACCTATTTGAGGGACGTGGCGTTTTTTCAGCTTCTGATATGGAGCATAGCAGGAAAAAGTTTGTGATCCAATGGACTAAACTAGCAGAGCTTGAAGTCAGTCCATGCGGGCCGTCTTTGTAAATGTGATGAAGTGATTGTCATGAGAATAGCTCCCTCACAAGGAAAACAATTCCTGGGAAATAACCGGAAACGCATCTGACTGACACTTTAGTCTCATGGTCTCTAACATGAAACCGAGCGAAGCTCATCCCTGATCCCAAGAGATCAGCTGATCTAACTGGTTAATTATTTTGGATACACCAGTTAGGCTGCTTTGGCTTGCCTACTATTACTGCAACCCCCCACCCCCACCTACCCCCCCAAGCTTTTATTGTCATGCTGTATGTGATTTATGCAACATATCTATGGTGTGTCGTTTGCAGGGGGTTTTGCTGCTGCTTGCTTTATGCATGTGTATGTAAGGTGGGGCAGTCCACCAAAAACAAATGACAGAGGATGAAAATAATAATTGTTTTTGACTGTAGTGGTTCTGACCAAACTGTTACACACTGTTGAACCTGTTATCAGTAAAATGTTGGATGGAGTTACAGCGGACTCGCTGTTTTGATTATTTTGAATTAATCACTAAATGATGGCATGCAGATAACTGTGGGTCCCATGCATTCACTAGTGTGTTACATGCTTTGGACTGTTCAGACAATTTCTTTCACAGGACGGCTTCACAAGTCCATGTGCCTGTAAGGACCTTGGACGGTTTTTGTTCATACTGTCCATTCAAAGAAAACATCCAAACATTCCATTTGAATGGAAGCGAATGGGAACAAAGTCCTCATTTTGTGCACAGAAATGCCTGAAAAACAGACTGTTCACAGGGAAAAAACAGATCTTTACTCTGTTAATTTGCAGCTTCAGGTCAACTTTAGAACACAAAATGACTTTAGTCCCCATTACTGCCTAAAAGCAAGCAAGGTAGGATCTTTTCAATGCCAACTTTGAAGCAAAGGAATGACAACAGCACAAGAAGAGCTCTGATTGGCACTGACAGAAAATACTGTGTCTCCGTCCTTCATATTGGTCACTCAGGGTGTTCGAGTGCACGGATTTATAGACATGCTCACAAGAGTGGATTTTCAGATGCACACACACTGTACTGTACACACGTATGTGCGCACACACACACACAGACCCTATAGCACCCTCGGTTACATTATCAGCATGACTTATCTTATCCCATAATCCTTTGAGACAAACTGTTTGCACAGATGTGACATACAATAAAGAATGAATTAGCAGTACATTTTCCTCATTACTCAGTACACTACTACTCGACTCTCTCTGGGCTCAGTCTGTGGTTCATAGAAAACCAGAGGAGCAGTACACAAATCATAATAAGCATGCAGCTTCTTTAGACTTCTGTTCAGCTCAACATGGACATGTAGACACTGACTGGGTCTCAATATAGACTACCAAGTTCCCACATGTAATCAAACACAGCTGAGGCTACATGCACGTGTTTGTACGGGGGGATGTGAAGTTCTAGTTACCTGAGCTACAAACTTGAGATGAGAAGTGACAGAGAAGGCCACAGTGCACCACACTGTGAACGCCCCCCTTGTTTCACCCTAATAACTTATGTAACTACTTCATAGCCACGATATTAAAATCACTTAATATATTTTTTAAACGGATCATTCTGAAATTAAAGGACAAGAATAAACAATTCCACTGTGTAGCAAACAGACCCTGTTCACCTCTAACAACCTGATCATGACTGATCACATGATTAGAACAAATATGACTTATTATTTTTAATTAAAATTGGATTTATTCTCATCTTTTACTGTGCAAATGCTTTTTGATGTTTCTTTTTTGCTGCTTGTTGACGTCACACACTAAAGCTACGTAAAGGCAAGTTTAGCCACTCAGTGTCTTTCATGCTACAGAAGTCCTGATTGTAGTGGTCGTTGACATTATTTCTTTCTTCAGGACAGAGGATTGTGTCCTGTGGTTGGACTCATTCCAGCTCCATCATCTCGGACTGCAGCTGGTGACTGTAGTCCTTCTGCTGTGAGCTGGGGATCACGCTAACCAGAGCCTGCAGTGTGTGAAGAACTGATTCATGTGCTGCTACACTGTGTATTCTGTTCGACACAGCAAAGCAGAATAAGGACTACTTTCCCAGCAGGATGGCAGCCACACTGAAGAGACAGCTTATGACTCAGTTAATTTGTGGTTGGTAAATAATATATTTGCAGAGCAGAAAATGATACTGCAATCATTAAAAGGCTGGAAATGCCGTCTAAACTGATATTATTTCCCCCGCTAATAATGCTCTTTCAGGACCTCTTTATTACGCGCGTACTAAAGATGCCCATGCACATCCTCTAATGCCATTTAAAAATATGGCTAATAATGCAGAGATCTGCTAGAGTCTGTATCCACAAGCTGCCCACATCTCCCTCAACTGCCTCTGTGCTCATATAAGATTTCTGCTGCTCTGGCAGCTTTTCCTGTCATTCCTGGCTCTGCTACTTGAGATGAATATTACAAGATCTTGTTACATACAAGTTTCCCCGGCACAAACAATCTGAGAGAAAAGTGTGTGCACACACAGGGTGGGGAAAAAAAAGCAGATGCATGCATGCAAACAGTCTGCAGCTTGTTGCTTTGTGTGCACATGCATATAAATGAATACAGATATGTGAGTGATTGTACATTGCGTACCTGCGTTGTGCTTTGCCAAATACTTGTCTTTGTACTGCTTCTTCTTCTTGCCAAACCAGGTACAGCTGGCCTGCTGCTCCTGCTTCGTCTTCTCCATGGCTATACACGCCACCCGCCTACCACACAGACAGGCAACTGAACTTAGTTTACAATTAAAGCTGGACAGAAGCATTCTAGCTGTAAAGAGACAATAAAGCCATGTTGCCATCAGAATAATCAGGGGCTCTTCCCAGCATTTTACCAACTGCTATTTGAAAACACACAACTCCAACTTGTTTTTTTAATTCCTTGTGTTTTGATGCAACACAAAGTTGGGGGGAAAGAGTCTCTGACGAACTGGTACAGAACTAGAACAAAGTGCAGATAATACAACTAAGCAGAGAGACGGGCAGCGGAAATCTGAAATCTGGAGTAAAAACAGATCGGGCTGGAGGAACTGGTAATTGCTTTTTATATTGTGAAATATTGGTTTGTAGACTGCGTTTTTAAGATGTCTGTGTTTTTTTTCCTAATAGCTTAGTGAAAACTTTCTCAAAGCGTAGATGATCACTGTAGCTAGTTACAAGTTATTTTCAATACACCACTTTGTAGAGTATGATCTTGTTTAGAGTGCACAATAAAGCAGGGAGAAGTGGACTTCCGAAAGAGTTCAAAAACAGTAATTCACAAACCAGGGTGACATCTCCATCTTTACAGTTACTGTATTGGTCCTGGATTTTTTTCTTTTTTAATTTTTAGTGGAAACTTTTATCTTCCTGCCATCATGCTATCAGAGACTGCGTTGCTCTTCTCACCACTCCTGTAGTTCTGGTGACGGGATGAGGCCGGCTGTGCCATTTTTAGTGTTCTCCAGCTTGCCCTGCCACCAATTGTGATCATCCTTGGATATGATCTGGATGATGTCGCCCACACGGAAGCGAATGCCGGCCTCCTTGCAGGGGATGAGCTCATCCTTGGAGGGGTCATATTCAAACTGGGCCCTCACGTAGATCTGCGGTGAAAAGCACAGATGTTAGACGGGTAGTATGTAAACTGAATGACGTGGTGGGAGAGACGCAGACAGGGGGGGGGGGGGGGTAAATGTGTCTAGATGATGTGCTTTGTTTTGCATATCATGACAACTAGGCCTAGAGTAATGAGCAGTGGATTCTCAGGGGGCACGGGATCACGGGGTGTGGGGTACTGTTGAGAGGACTTCCTGTAGTGAGATGAACCCAGACACTGCTGGGCTATTAATGAGGCTCTCAACTCTCTGGTAATTACAACACAGGCATTGTTTATGTGTCCATTAGATCAAACTACAAGTCATTATCCTGCTTTAAAACTTTTCTAAGCACACAGCTGATATTTTTCCACAGTGTGTGAGGAAAGTGAGGAGGCAGTGTTTGACAGGTGTTTTTTCTTTTTAATTTCTGGGGGAGTTGGGGGGGCAGAGGAAATCTGTCTCTTACCTTCACTGACATTTTGTCCTTGATTGGAGGTCTGGATACAATCTAGGATTTGAAAGCATCACATACATCATGCAGCAAAAACGGCTAGGTAACGTCTAAAACAGCAGTATGGCGGCCGAGGCCGGTGGCAGGGAGGAAGGTTGTGGGTTAATAGCAGGGTTTAGACATTTACTTCTCATTAATGTGGCAAATTATTAGGCAGTTCAGTGGCCTTTAAGCTCTGCAGCTCTAAGGCTGCTGAGCTTGTAATACAGCATCGTATGTTGTGGTCTCCACTGCCCCCTGCTGGTGTGTTCTTTATATGCCACTTTGCTTTGAGTTTCTATCACAGCATTGAAGTTTTTGTCAGTTGCTTTGGATCGGTTCTTGAATGATAGATGAAGCTATTCCAGAACATTTAGTCAAACTACTGAGAACAACTCCCCACAATTTACACTAATTTTGGTTTTATATGCATCAGAAAAATAGATAATATTCTGTCATGAACAGTTTTACTATTCAAGTATGCTAACATGAGTTCATTGTGCAAGGCATCACGTGCTCCGCTGAGCCTACATATGACAGTCATGATGAATCTGCACCATGGCAGACTGATCATCATTCTGACTTTGTAAATACGACTTCCTCTGTACTGCATTCATTGCTAATCTGACTTTATCTTCTCCAATACCTTTTACTTATATGGCAGCTTTTCTCTAATAGCATAACGTGCCAAAGTAAAACCACAAATATGAACGGTGTGGCAAATACACTGATTAAACTTAAAACAGCAGTTTATTATTACTATTGTTTTTATTATTGGCAGTAGTATTAATCTCTGGCTCTCTTCCACAGTGTCTTTTTGCCCGTCTCCCTCCCCTGATGGTTGATGGTCAGCAGATGGCCGCTCTTCCTACTGTTGCCAAGGTGGTCATCTAATTGTTGGGTACTTTTATATGACTGTTGTTGCGATATGGTGCTGTATAAATAAAATTGGATGAGAATGAGTACTGGAAAATATATTTTTAAGACTTGAATGAAACCGACATATAGCGTTTTATACAATTAGAGCAGCCAGCTCAGATAAAGTATTTTATGGACAAGAGTCTGTCCTTGGAATAGGACTAAGGATGTCAGGCAGTACAGTAAGAGTAAGACAACAGAATATAAGCAGGTACACAAGAGTACACATCCCCCCCAAACACAATCCAAGAAAATGTGAGTGCTCAGTATATGATCAGTATTTAAATGGTATCACTGTGATTCACAGGGGCAGTCCGTTATCCTTGGCCCTGAGCACAGTTTGGGTGAAGATCCATTATATTATCATTGTGCACAAGTTAAAATCTAAAATCAGTGCCGTACGAGGAACACCGATTGAACCTTGGAGGGTTCAATCGCTCATGCCATGGACAACTCGTCATAGCATGAGGTCATCGGCCCTTTGAGCTACTTTTTTTTTTTTTTTTTTTTAAATGTGCCAAAGCAACTGAGGAAAAACTGCAAAATCGTGTGACAGTCATGGTTCTGGATAAATAATGTTGGATTACCTCAGAGGGGATTAATAATGTGTCAGGAAGGCGCACAAACACATAACACTGTGACTAGATGAGGGTTAAAGGAGACCATTAGGAAGGACAGTGTTTTATTTGGCTTTTCATAGATGACACTCATAGTGGCTGTACTCACAGCGATATAAACATTGCATGAGATGTTACTGCATGAATTAATGTGACTGGGAACCAGTGGTTAAGGGGAATCCTTGTGCTCTTTAAGGCTCAACAATGCCTGTGCCATTGTTACCACAGAGATTGTTAAGAGGTTTGTGAAGTGCTGAGGACAGCAGCGGTCACAGCTTTTCATAAATGCTCTTCTAGTAAAACCCTGACATGGGATAAGAATCCAGCTGGATCCAAATTAGAGGCAGATACTCTTAAGGATGGGAAGGGCACCGCAGTTATTCATAAGTTCTGATACTTCAGACAAAAAAAAGAAACTGCACTTAACTACTTGGTGGAATTATATCTCATATATCTATCTATATATATATATATAATTACATATAAAAAATATGATTCCCTTCTCCCACTGTGGATTTTGACACATTTTGCATCACATCTGATCAATGATGCAGAATCCTGACTGGATAAACATAAATCACAGTGAGAGAGCCAGAAACTGTGCTGTAGCTTGTACAGCTTTTTAAACGAAAAGTTTCAAAACGAGCTGTCACCAAATCTTTGTTTAGTGCTTAGATGTGGCTCAAATCGTCAGAGCTAACTGGACTTGCTTAAACTTGAACTGAGTTTAAGGCATCTTTTAGATCCAGTTTTTTCATGGGTCTCGTTTGGTTTTCAGCCAAACTACAGGCACATTTCTTCACTCTGTAGCTGCCCAGCACTGAGTGACCACTGCAGTACGACCTCCCTTTCATGTGTTTTGTCTGTGGAGCTGTGGTTGTTAGTGGGCACGGATGAAAGGATTACAATTGTGTGTGTAAGCCAGTGATGCAGACCAGTTTTGTTGTTGCTCACATCACACAGAATGACTGTTTCCCTCTTTGACTCAAAGGGAAGCATTATGTTCTCCAAATCAATAAAACTCAATTTCCCCGCCCACCCTACAGACAAAGCTCAGATGCACTGAGTCCACTCCTGTCTTCAGCCTGATAAAAGCTGAACAGCTGCACACTACTTTTGGTGTAAATTATAGATTTAAATGGGATATTTTGGCCTGGCTCCAGAATCTTATATTTCTTCTTTTAAAGGATGAGGCCGGCGATTTTTGATATTTTCATTACTAGAAATAAATGATTACCAAGTACTCTGTTTACCCAAAGCACGATTCCACTAATTCCTGCGTGCCATGCAGCTTCATCAAGGCACAGTTTCCCAGGTTTCTTTATTACAAAATATGGGGTGGTAAATTATTAAAAGAATAGTCTCAACTGAGAAAATAAGCCTCTTTTAAGAATCATTTTACACTACAATATATAAACTTTGATTATCAGTGTATGTAGACAAGTACCACCACGAAAACCACAAATATGAACGGTGTGGCAAATACACACTGATTACACTTAAAACAGCAATTTATTATTACTGTTATTTTTATTATTAGCAGTAGTATTAATCTCTGGCTCTCTTCCACAGTGTCTTTTTGCCCGTCTTCCTCCCCTGATGGTTGATGGTCAGCAGATGGCCGCTCTTCCTACCGTTGCCAAGGTGGTCATCTAATTGTTGGGTACTTTTATATGACTGTTGTTGTGATATGGTGCTGTATAAATAAAATTGGATGAGTACGAAACGAGTACTGAAACGGGAACAGAAAAGGTCCAACTATGAAACGATGAGAGGGATTTTCTGGCTGCTGCACCAATTTCCTTCTGCGCCATTTGGGAATACCGTGCTGCACATTTCATAAAGTGGCCTTTAGAGACGGACCTGCTAGCAGACTTCTGTAACCGGTAGGTCTGCACACAGGCCAGACAGTAGCAGAGATTCTCATTCTTAGGAGAGTTTAGATACAGTACATAGTCACGTATGCTCAATTATTAGATTTTCTTTCTTTTTTTAAACACAGTTTTCAGTGAAACTTCTCTGTAAGAGATGACAGCACAATGAGCTACTTAAACTGCAGTCATGAAGTCAAAAGCAGCAATTTCTACAACAGCATCCTGATGTCACCTTCAGCCACCACAACCTGCTGCTACCCATTTCTACAGAAACTGGAGTGCACCATCTCAATCACATGGACGAGATTCCAGGAGACAGATAGCTAGTCTAGGAGAACTGGACAGGACAGTAGAAGGTCCTTAACCCATCAGCAGGACCAGTGTCTGCTCCTTTGTGTAAGGAGGAACAGGATGAGCACTGCCAGAGCTACAACATGACCTCCAGCGGGGCACTGGTCCAGATATGGGAGGAGACACCAGGACACTATCCAGGCTCTCATTTAGGAGCATGCTCCAATATCATCAGGCACACATACAAACGTGTCTGACAAACCACCGAGTACCATTTTGATTTGCTGCAAGGAAATTGACTTGACTGAAATTGACTTTCAGGGTGTCTTTGAATTCAGCCCTCTGTAGATTGATCATTTTCATTTCCATCAAATGATGTAGTGTCCTCCTGCTTGCTCATAGCGTGTTGTCTGACAGCTGGGGGGTTTCTCTGTATTATTGTAGGGTCTTTACCTTATAAAACTCAATTTAAAGTGCCTTGAGGCACCTGCTGTTGTAATTTGGAGCTATATCTTCCTGAAAACCAGCCTATTCATTAATGTCCTCTGTAATGGACATTTGTTTTTGGTCTATATCTTTTGACTTATTTGAGCTATCCTACTGAGTCCTGATGTACTAAATTGAGGACATTCTGGGCTTTCCCTTGGAGATCTCATGTGTTTTCAAAGTGTTCCTTTAATTTTAGTGAGCAGTGTATTTATTTAATGAAAAAAAATTGTCACCCAGTATGAGCAGGAGGAGCTCACCGACACACAAAAATAAAATATTTCAGGCTTTGTAATCACACAAAATTCTTGTCCATCAGTAGTTTGGGACAGATAAAAACAGCCTGACTTACATGCAACCAAATCACACTGATGAGTTTTATGAAGCAGAAGGGAGAGTTTGGGAGAAACTCAGACACACACTTTTGTGTAAAGGAGTGTGATGCAAGCATTTGTAAGGAGCTAGTGAGTGATTGTTAGTTACCTGTCGACCCTTGGGCTGGATGGTAGATGGCAGGTCCTGTGAAAGTGACCCATTGATGACAGAAAGAAAAGGTTAAGAAATATACTACAACACACACACACACACACACACACACACACACACACACACACACACACACTTATATCCTTGTAGGGACATCTCATTGACATAATGCTTTCCCTAGCCGCTTACCCTAACCATCAAAAATGAATGCCTAACCCTGACCCTAAACCTAACCATAACCTAATTGTAACCATGACAGTAAAACCACATTTTGAGTCTGAAAAATACCTTCAAACTCATGGGGACGGGGATTTTGGTCCCCACAAGTATAGTAAACTACCAATTTTTAGTCCCCATGAAGATGTTAATACCTGTCCACACACACACTGAGAACTTTTACATGCAATCTAGATGTTTAAAGAAAAAAAAAAAGTCATTCTCATCTGTTAAAGCAGATCTGGCTGTGGAGCAACCAAGCAAGCACAGAGCAAGCGAAGCAGCTGCAGCATCAGCACCACCACATGTCTGCACGGAGCCTTGGCAGGGGAAACTGTGGAACCTGATTGGGTTTAGTAGAATAGCAGAGTAGGAGCACATCTCCTCGCACCATCGTGACCACTGGAGCCTCGGTGTGTTTTTGTCAGCAATGAGGCACAGCAACGGAGCAGGCTTTGTGAGGCACACCAATTTGTGAACTGAGATATCGGACACGGGGGGCCTTTGGCTCAAACAGATGAACAGGGAGAATGACACGGGAGTGAGTTGAGGGCTACGGCATCACCCGTCTACATCTAATCCTACTGCTACCACTACTGTGACACGATTTAACGCAAAATGAAATGAAAACAACTCATGAGAAACGCACGGGGCAACTGAATGTAACAACACGGACATGTAGAAATACCATGACACAATAGCGTGACAGAAAAAAAGAAAGAAAAAAAAGGAGGAGGAAATAGCTGGGTGGTAGTCTGATTGTGGGATTTTTTGTTTTTCTATGGTTGGGGTGGGGGTCCTTACCAAGATAGAACTGTTAATGCTGGAGTGGCCATTGGCAGGGGACTGCCTGGAGGTGGTGGGGGACTCATTCTGAAATAAGACACACAGGTCAGCAGTGCACAGCCGGCGCACAAACACACACAAGCGCACACATTCACACACTTCTGGGGTTGACTGTAGGAGATGGAGGGTGTATTTGTAGAACACAATAGAGACCCACCACAGAGTTGACGTAATGAAATGCGTCAACAAGACATGGGAGACAGCAGCACCAGCAGAACTCTAGCATGCACAGCCTTAAATAACCACATAGAGGCGCTAGACTGACACGAGATGCTAGTCTGATCAGCATGAAGTCATCATTAACTGAAGCTGTCAGAGCTCAAAAGTCCTGACTGTGTCAGTGTTCAGAACAGCGTGTGCTGGAGGACCAAAAGAGTTGAAATCGCAGTCACATTTCTCTTTTAATGGAACACTTAATGACTTCTTATCAAATGTGACAGCAATACAACAATGTTATAGGTTTTACTGTGAAAATCAACTGGAAATGGAGAGAAATATGAAGGCTCTGTTCAGAGAAAGCTAAATTATAAGCAGAAATAATGATTAAAGTGAGCTAACAGTCTGTAATGTCTCAGTTAGTCTCTCTGTTCTCAGCTAAAAATGACCTAAATCAAAGCAGGGCTGTGGTTTGCGTGCACGACTTTTCAAAATAAAGTCTCCCTTTTTTTCCGTTTCTGTTAAAAACAACCACATTAACCATGCTGTTCTAGTTTTAGACCTCTGCACTGGTTTCAATGTGTTCTAAAATGATCTAACTAATTACATGTACGGTCTTAGATGGCTGGATACCACAATGTATGTATAACTTCCTTTTGTCCCTCACAGCTCTGCTGGTCTAGCTTTTCTTAGCTGGTCCAAAGTATTGGTGCCCCAGCTTTCTGTCAGTTTTAGTATGCTGGTATTGTAGTTGTCTGAACTGCTGGTTTCTACTTATATTGTTTTTGGACTTTACTTCCTGTACACTGGAAAGCTCTTTGTTCTACTTGCTTCAAAAGCTACAAAGATAATATAACAAAAACAAACCAAAAAAACCAACCTTAAATTATTTGCCACTCTGAAAATGTAATACTGCACATTTGCTCTACATTTATCTCAGAAAGATTTCATCATCTGATTTTAAAAAAAAAATTGAAAAATTTTGAAAAACCAGACGTTTCAATAACAGATCGCAAAACAACAGGATTTTTTTGTTATTAAATCTGTTACTTAGTTACGTGTATAGCATGGATTTCTGCAGGGGAGTTCCTTTTCAGCAAGAAAAGCTGTGAAGCTTACAAGCAAAAAAACTGTGCAAAAAAAGTCAACCAGTCAGTCAGACCTGGAGTCTTTGCTGGTCTGATTCTGGCACCTGGACTGCATGATTGACACCCCTGATCTATGGCAAATGATATCCTGAGTTAGCCCTCGTTGGCATCCCATAGCACACGGCAAAGAGCAATTAAGCTTTGAGTTTTACTGGCTTCCATTCAGTTATACTGGTATTGTATTTTGCAGTACCCAATATCCTGTGTTGGACTTTACGTCCTATCCTGTAAACTCGGCTCTCATGTAGTGAGATAGATGAAGGAAGATGGAGTTTTAGCTGTTCAAGAGATGCTTGAGGCATCTTCAGTTGTATAACAATTCAGCATCTAAACATCAGCAACATCCTGAAACATCTCATGCGCCACATGAGCTGGAGCTTGGCCTAAGTTGAAGCATGACGCGAGAGGTTACTATCATCCACGTCTGTACGGTGTGTGTGTGTAGGTGTAGTGGTTGTTCTATATGCAGGAGCAGGATGGGATACACAGAGAGGTGTGGCTTGTTTCCGGAGCGGAGAAGGGAAGAGGGAGTTCCGGTATCTTGGTTGTGAAATTGGTGTGCTGATTATCTGGCCCAGCAAAACACAGCAAAACACACGCACAGCACACCCCGTACACACAACCTACTCAGGTTACACACACACATACACACTCAGTAACCAGGAAAGCAGTTAGTAACTAGATCAAGAGCTAAAAAAAAAGTAGTGAGGAGGAGGCAGAGGTGTTGTTACCTCACAGGATGAGCCCTGCGTCCGGTAGCTTGGTACTATTTTGAAAGTGATGCTGCCGCGCATCTCTCGCTGCAAACACACAGAAACACAGACACGGAAATATAGTGAGTTTTGTCTCATCTTCACGTCAGCTTGTGAGATTTTCTCTCATATGCAGAGATAGTGGGAAAAGAAGGTTTTCTCTGGTGTATAAACATTTGAGAATTTCATTTAATTCTCTTCTGTAAATTGCTTCGGTACAGTTCATGCTAACTACACCTGTCAAGACCCTCTTGTCCAAATATAGTCAGTTGTGACTCCAAAAACAACCCCTCTCCCAAACAAACACAAAAGCAAAACTCACCAGCATCTTCTGCAGCTGCTCTACAGTCTGGTTGGCCACACTGATGCCGTTGATTTCCCTGATCTCATCTCCAACATGCAATGTTCCTGAACGCAGGAAAAAGGAAAAGAGAAACAAGTATTTTCTAATTGCAGAGGCATCCGAGATGCAGCCATAGCAGAGGTCCTCCGGTCTAGTTTGATTCTTCAGCGACTACAGTGTGGCATCCTTTGTAACAATCGAGGAGGAGTTTCTTCTTTTACTCACCGTTAATTTAAAAAGCGCTAAAACCTTCCTCTTCTTTAAAGATTTCAGGTAACAACAGTAAAAATATTTATTGAGGACTTGAAATACGAAATTAGAGTATTGTATACAAAAAATAGGCAAAATATTTTAACAAATGAGTCAAAGTCTTGTGGGCAAGATTTATATAATGTCGCTTATTGACGTCAGTCAGAAGATGGAATAGAGTACCCTGTCTGTGGATCATCCCCCCGTGCATTATCCTTGCGACGATGCAGTGGTTTGATTCGTTCATCTTCAATGTGATACCCTGCAAACGCATAAATTTGAAAATGGTTACTGATACCATGTAAAAAGTCCCAATGTCATCCCAGATCAAATATCAGTACAGTGAATACAACACCGTACTCTTTAGATCATTAACCGTGAATTATGATGCATCTCGATTAATCATGAAGAACTCTTCAGCCACAAGTAGAACAAGCCTCCAACAGACGGCATGGCCCCCAAAGAGTCCCAACATCAGCATTATACAGTTAGTGTGAGCTGACATGAAGAGACAGAAGACTAAAACCAGAGAGGAACTGTGGCAAGTTACCTTTAAATGCTAAAACAAAGTATAAATAATAATAGGCATGTCTCTGAAAGCATCCTCACTTTCATTTCATTCATTTCAACTCAGCATTGTTCAAAATCCCAAAGGGCGTACCATTGGCTCATCTGTGTTCTTCTGAAACTGGACCAGACGGACTCTGGTGACGTTCTCCAGGTCCATGTCTCCGTTGGCACTCTCGGGGGAGTCTCCGTTCAGGAAGGGTGAGGTGGGTGGAGGTGTCACCCGCAGAGCCTCGTCACTGTAAACCTCGTGGGCCACTACGTCATGGGCCTGCAGCAATGCCTGTAGACACACACACTTCATAAAGGACTTCACTCTTCTTGGTAAAGGCACATTTTGTGTGAACAAGAGTGCACCAGTTATGGAACTTTACTGTCGGCTTCTGGTGGCATCACTGACATGAATATCTGCGATTCTTCCAAAGTAAAAGGGAGGCTGAGATGAGGTACAGGCAAGGCCACAGGATGTTGAGGAAGAGTTTCCCCCTTTCCTGTGGCAGCAGACGAATTAGGACTGAATAAGAGTACCACTGTCTTATCTGGTGAAGAAATACTCTTTAGCTAGCTAGTTGTTCTCACCAGAAACCATTTATGAAAACAAGTGATTGTTGGGCACTGCTTTATGAGTGAACAGCATAAATGAGACTAACTCCAAAGCACATCTGTTGGCATATACAAAGAATTGGTGAAATCTGTATGACTCCAACAGTGACTCTTGTACAAATAACGTCATTCAGCTTAAAAATTTGCAATCCACACTCTTTATGGTAAATTCACAGAAGACAAAGCCTTCAGTGCTCTTGAACTCCCTCAAGACATGATCTCACTAAAAATAACATGGACAATATTTTATTCAAGCTCTGAAGAGCAGGAAGGGATTTGCTTCTTGACTTTGTCTGACTCTCTGCTCTGCCACACATTACAAAGATATTTCTCCTTTTGCACAGGTGCCTTTAGTCCGTAGCCCCTGCATCTGTCTGAGCTCTGCATCTCCACAAGACGAGCCTGCTGCTCCCTCACACCCACAGAGTGTTAGACTCCACTTGTCTGACAGACGCAGAGGCCCTTCCCTTGAGTGGCACTTTAACAAACCCGTCTGAACTTCAGAAGACAGCAATCAAAGCCCAACAAAGGGGGGAAACCTGTCACTGTCTTCTTTCAGCGTCACGCAAACAACACACACAAGCGCACGCACCCGAGGAGGGAGAGCACATCAGAGAGGGAGAGACACAAAGGCAGCGGCAGCCTCTCTAACTCCAGTGTCAAAATACATCACACGCAGAAGACACTTCATGTTGCACAACTTGCAGGAAAACTGTGTGTGCAAGTACGTGTGTGTGTGTGTGTGTGTGTGTGTGTGTGTGTGTGTGTTTGTGCACCCTAATGAAAACAGGGTTAAGTGCTCAACTGATCCTTTCATGCTGTGTGCTTTAACCCTTTAAGACCTACCATAGAACTAAGTCCGCCAGAGCTTATCTTTATATTTTTACATGCTGTAGAGCCATTTTTGGGAGCATTTCAAGTTGCTTTACATCAATACAACTGTTATAGCCCAAATTTTAATAATATGTATGCATTTAGTGCATAGTAACTATATAAATTGCAAAAACATGCCAAAAAAAAAAAAAACTATAAAATTTTTAAATCGTTTTTGTTTTGTTTTTTTATATATATATATTTCTAGTTAGAGAAATTTAAGAGGCTTATGCCTCAAAATTGTAAATACAAAAAAGTTGCACAAATGAGTTTACAACAACAGGAAATTTATTTTGAGTGTCTTCATAATTTTATTTTTGAGATACACCAATTTTTATATACTGCATAAAAATCGAAAATAAATGTTAAATGCAAATTGGCAAAGAATTTCCAGCAGTGCAATTTGAGTTCTAAGCATCCCAGAAACGACACAGAAAAGCATAAATTCAAACATGACTTTGAAAAACACCAGTATAGGCTTATCAGGCCCTGAAGGTAAAAAACTACATTTTCCGCAAAAATGACGTCACTTCTGGTTTCGGGCAGGTAATGGCGGACATGCGCTAGTTCGTGCTGACGTCTATTCCGACACAGGAAGTGTTACAAACAGCTGATCGGTTTCTGGATTATTATGCTTTTGTTGCTGCAAATGCTTTTTACACAATTTTTGCAAAGCTATATGTGGAAGGAAACCGTGACTTAGGACAAACTGAATGCATAAGAAGTACAACGCCTGCGGTTTCATATGCAAAAAAATAAAAAATCATTGCGCTAGCTTACGTGGTTGCAGTTCTACAGAGATTTAAAAATAGATATGCACAACGGAGCGTGCCCGCTCCGACCGGTTTTAAAGGGTTAAAACGAGAAAATTTTAGACTGAGATAGTTAATAGACAGTGTTTTAAGCTTTTTAAACTGATCCCCATGTCGAAAAAAAGAAGAAAAAAAGAAAAAGAATAAATAATGTGGTATTCAGTGCAAAGTTCATAAATAATGTCCTGGACTGTGGGGTTTGTGGGGATTCTGCCATGTCAGCATCACTGCCACTCAAATGACAAACAAGATGGCGTGAGCTTACACAGATCCTGTTCTTTATTTAGACATTAAAAGGTGATCGGTGCATCATGGGAAGGCCCCAGCAGCCTAGGCCTATTGCTACAGCATAACTGAGGAATGCTTTAGGATCACCTGATCCAGCTCTAACTCTACGCTTTATCAAAAAGAAAAGTCTTAAACCTTTTAAACTTTGTGATACAATTGTTCAAGATTTTGTATGTGAGAATTTTAAATTCAGGAAGCTTTAAGGGAGACCTGATAATAATCTGAGAAGCTAAAAATGCACAAAGTAGTTTTTCTGCTCTGATGATGTCTCTGATACAGGATGTTTCTTATTTTTGAGATATTGGCAAAAACAGGAAGGCAGTTCACATATTTGTTCAGTGTGTGCATATCCTGGTCGAAACGACTCCAAGATTTCTCACAGTGTTACTGGAGGCCAAGGTAATCTATGCAAGCATCTGGTTAGACAACAAGATTTTTAGGCCCAAGTACAGTAATCTCCGTTTTATCTAAATATTGAATCAGGAAATTAGAGATCATCCAAGTCTTTACTTCTTTAAGACATGTCTGTATTTGAGCTAGTTTATTTAAATGATCTGCCTTGATAGATAAATAAAGCTGGGTATCATCTACATAGCAATGAAAGTGCCATTTCAAAACATATTAGTTTAATGTATGTGTTGAAGGACATTTCCTGGTCAAAAACAACTTTAAGAGTTATCACACTGTTGCTGGAGGCCAAGGTAATACCATTTCAGTTTCAAAAATATTGCCTGAAAAGGGGCAGCAGCCATGTGGGGAGGATTGCTAAACTTTAGCTACACTTTGCTAATGTTTTTTCTAGACCTCAAACACCATCTGAACACTAATTCTGAAACCCTACACCTCAAAGTAACAGGTTTATTTTGTTAAAAATAACCTACAAAGAAAGTCAAGTCTACTCTCATGTGTGTACATCAGAGCTAGACGAGTCAAAATCCTGGCATGGCTCCGTGGGCATCGTCTGTATTCAGTTCTCACTTGAACTTGTTGGAATGTGGAACACGTCAGTTTACGCTCTTGTAGCACCATGAAGGAGCCAGGCCTCTGACCCGACACAGCACATCGCATCAAACACGCCTTACTAACCTCCGTCTACGCCCGCCCTCCTCTCTCACTTCACAGCCAGGACCCTCTCCTTCCATTTGTCTTGATTACTGATCTTTTTCCTCAACTTTGCTCTCCCTATCACTTCATTTTGATACCGATTTGTCTTTTTTCTTTTTACGTCTCCTCTCTCTGTCGGTCTGTCCACGTGATATTGAGCAACACTGATCAGTGATGAAAATCAGATGTATTTATGTATATATATCACATTCGCAGACACTTGAAACACCCTTCCATTTCCACACAGTTCATGTTAGATGACTTGATCTTTAAACACTTAAATAAACCAATACCAATGCGACGCACTCCATCTTTCTTGTGCATGTTTTCTTTTTAGTCCTATCTAATCTGTGCAGACAACAATAAGACCATGTAAAAGTGCTATTTACAACATTTAGAGAGATTCTGATTTGTTATATCTGGACTCTAAATGCTTCGTTAAAGGGCCTTGTGCACATTTCTGTAAGAAATGGACATGAGAACCTCCTAATGTGTGTCTGTGGGATTTTTTCCCCCCACTCACCATGAAATGTGGCTGGGTTACTATCCGTCTGAGTTCCTTAGCTTCGTGCTTCTCTGGGTAGCAAGAGATCTCTTCCAGTACCTGAGGAAACACAGAGAGAAGAGTTTAATTTATGCCTCAGTAGCTCTTCTTTATGCCCAAATCCCTCCTTCCAATGCGACCTGGCCACTTCAACGTAGGCAGCGCAGACCAACAACACTCACAGTTCCTCTCCAACACCACCTCCTAATGCGAGACCAACTTTGGACACCACTCAGCAAGTCAAGAATCTGGTCAAGCTTTTGCTCCTCCTCCTGCCCTGTGGAAGCCACTTGGCTTGATGTCAGCTCCAGTTATGTTGCGCCTGACTGGTGAATGTGGCATTGTAGAGGTGAGGCCTCTGCATCGAGGAGTTTCAATGTACTTCTCCATATCAAACAGCAGTGTTTAGTTCACGAACGTGCATGGGGTCCAGGTATTCATTATCGCTACACTGTAATAATCACATTTACTTGTTACCCTCAAGAGCTGGCACTTACTGGCACGTCAAAGCCACATGCATTAATACATCAGCAACTAAGTCACAAGTACAGCCAAATGAGATAAAAATCGCATCTCCTCTGTAATAGCCAGATATGGATGCTATTTCAACACCTAAGAGAACTGCATGGACATTTTACAGGACAACATTATTATTTAAACTATAGAGGAAAAAAGGTCAGGTTCACCTTTAACCTTGTGTTTTGTTTGTTTCTTGGCAAGTGAATTGAACTAAAAATATGTGTGTACGGAGATAGATTTGCATCCATTAATTACTAGTTACTAGGGCGCGATACCACTTTTTTATGTCCGATACCGATATCATAAATTTGGATATCGGCCGATACCGATATGAATCCGATATAATGTTTTTTTAATCAATAAAACTGTTATTTTAATATCTTGGTGCTTTTTGTATAAGTTTATACTCAAGTTAAAAAACAAAAACAAAAAACAAAACACTAAAGCTATTCTGTTATACCTGTATGCAAAAAATACACTGCACCCAAAATATTTCATAGTTCAGCAATACTGATCAATCTAATAAACTTAAACCTACTCCATCCTCCCTATTCTGGTATTTTAAAGAGTAAGCACCCTAACTAATAGGGTTCTAAAACTCCCAGCAAAAAAAATAAGGAACCACCCCCCACCTCATGATGCTTAGTCGACGTAATCAATTTGATGCAGTGTGAAAAAAAAATGCCCAGAAATAAATTATTTTTCAAGAATAATTAAATAGATTCAACATCTTTCTTCAACAGAGTTGCAGACTGCACAGATGGTACCTTCCCAAAGGAAAAAGTAGTATAGCTTCCTAGGGTATATTAGACTTAATAGTTACTATATACAGTAATGGACTTCTATTCATTTTACATCAGATTAAAACTTTGGGTGTAAGATTCGGATAATTTTTTATTAAAAATGAGAATAAGAAAGAAAAGTATGTCTTTGTGCCCCCTTTTCCCTGTTAATGCCCTATCGGCCCCCTGGCTAAACTTTGCTAGATCCGCCCCTGCACAGTTACCAGCGTCAGCTACGTAGAAAAAGATCCTCGAGTAGAAAGTAATATTAAATAAATTCTAACAACAGCTGATCAAGCTTAAACGTGCTGCTGTTGTTCAGCCGCTGGTTTCCTCTTTCTGGTGCGAAGTGGGCAATAAACAAACAAGAGAGACGGACTCGCGACAGAAAAGCCGATCAGCTGATCATTGATCAGTTTCACCATTGAAGTAGCAGCAAGAAGAGGCAGTCGCTCCATATATTGGTTGTTAAGCTTAACGCAGGAATGCTTTACAAACATTCAGAGATGAACTTACACACTTGCTTTACTTCTCTCTGGGATAACTTCCTCGGAGATGAAATGCCGGATTGGTAGCGAGGCTACAAATACACACAGCCGCTCTATCACATGAGCACACTGCTCCGACGTGCTACGGTTATGCCATGTTGGAAGTTTTGTGAGGTGCTTTTTTGATATTTAATGGATCGTAGGGATGGGTACCGGTGTCCGGTGCCATGATGGCACCGGTTCTGACATAAACGGTAGTAACCAGACCGAAAAGCAGCGCACATTTTGGTGCTTTTTTTTCCTGAACTGTGATACACTTCTAGCCAATCATTTTACGTTTCCGAGGATAGTAGGTGGGGCCAGGTACGTACGTTCTTTTATGCAGAGCTACAGATTAAAAATGCCCAAGGCGAAGCGGTCAAAAGTCTGGCTGTACTTCACAGCAAAATATGCAAACTCAGCAGCCTGCAACAAGTGCTTTAAGCTGATACTGTGATACTGTCAAAGGAAGTAACACCTCGAATCCGATGAAACACCTGGCGACGCATAGCGCGTTTTTTAAAAGTCGAGAAATGCGCCGTATTTGATGGCAGCAGCAGCCGTTCTTCTCTGCGTGAGTAGCTTAATGTTGTTCGTGTGTAATTTAGGTTGAGTAGGCTAACCACGTTATTACAGTAATGCATGTAAGGTGAACTAGCAAACATCATCATAGCTACATGCGGCTGTCTTCTTGTTTGATGGCAGATACTCCCTTCACCCTGGCCAAAAAGGCTAAAATGACCAAAGAAAAAGAGGGAAACAGTTAAACATGAGAGGTTTTTGGACAAAGTTTGTATTTTTTCCATTGTTTAAGCACTGCTTCCAGCTAAGAGTGATACCATATATGCCCCATAGCTGCAGAAAATGCTAACATTGTTATCTTTTTACAAAAAACAGCTGACCATGAGAGGTTTTTGGACCAATTTAGTGTTCTCCATTCTTTAAGCACCGGTTTGAGCACCGTTTAAGCACCGGCACCGTTTCAAAAGTACCGGTTTGGCACCGGTATCGGATAAAACCTAAACGATACCCATCCCTAATGTATCGGATTACATTTTTTATTTCTCTCCAATATCCGATCCAGTAATTTACGTCAGTATCGGACCGATACCGATACGTAATATCGGATCGGTCCATCTCTATTAGTTACACACCAGGGATCACTGTGAGGCTATCAGTTACAATGAGAAACAAAACTCCACCAGCTGGACAAAGAGAAAAAGCTTAGGCAAATGCACAGTTATGTGAATCCGAGTTAAAAAACAAACAAACATACAAACAAAAAAGACCAACAACAACAGAAAAAACCCCAACAGTGTTGTCACCTCCCATGTCAACGGGGAACAAATGTCCATAGAAATTAGAAACACCCACCAGGCACCAGATGTTCTTTTCTGGGCTAAATGCGGTGGACCTTTAAATTTTTTTACTTGCTGAAGAGAAAACATGTGGCAAGTTTAGTCTAAATCACACCTACTGATTGTTTCAGAAACACAAATGCATTAGGTCTTTGTTTTTTTGGTTAAGAGATCTGTCAGGTTCATGTTTTTGACCAATGAATTCCACACTAAAGTGTAGAAAGGATACTGTTACCATTAGTGGGTAGTGCAGTGGTAACCACATCAGGCAAGATCAGATGTTTGGTGTCAATACACCAGGCAAAACAAACTCTTCTGTAGTGAGCAGAGGGCAAGCGAGCGTGTGTGAGAAAATGCACATTTTAGTGCATAGCTCTTGTTATGAATTTACGTGAGAATCATCTATATTTTAAAAGTTGTCTTCAGCTTTGGAGTAATACCAGGATAATAGATTACAAATATGGATAACCTTTCTGAATCTAAAAAGTGAAACCACTGCATTAGTGACTCTAATGCCTGCATACTTTCTCGTGGCCAGCAGAGGGCAAGAGATACAGTTTCTGATGGTTTAGAAGTCTATGAGAGAAGTGCACATCGCTTCCTCTGACCCATGACCTTTGATGAATTTATGATCTCAATCACCAATTTTAGTTCTTAATAAAATAAGACTCGTTTTATTCAGTAATTATATTCCCCATCAAAATTAAAAGGGGGGATGCTTCAGAGAAGGCCTACACAATGACTGACAAGTCACACGCAGTGCCCTTCAGTCAAACTGGTTTAAAAAAGCTAATGTGGGGACAATCAAAACACCCGGTTTGAGGCTTGATAACCTCAAATTGAGGGCCTCACTAAGCACGGGGTGATCCACGGATCGACATATATACACAGTGTAAGTTGAGGATCATTTCTCATACATTCTGTCAAATGACAGGCAGAAGGTCATTTTCTCTGACCCCATGTCACAATTGTATTTAGGCCAAGGGGCAATCCTCCAGAGCGGAAATACTGAGCCAATGTGGAATTAGCAGAAACTACAGTTCCATTTAAGGCTGCCTGGACAGGAGTCAAGCCTCATAGCCTCATGTCAAAATTTCTTGTTTTAAAACCAATAATTACAATATGTTACAAAATTAACCAAGCTAGATACCCTTAATTAATAATTTAAGACTCCAGTCTTTCATCTGTATGTTGTAGCTTCTAGCTCCATGGCAGCAGTCAGATTGCTAACACTGAATGCCAATCAATGAGTGAAGTTACATCATCTTTTTTATGGTACACAGCTCCGATGTGAGAAAATGAAAAGTTAAATTTAGTGCAGTGTTCTGAAGGCAGGACTGTGATGCAGTTTTCTGCCTCGCCACTAGAGG